AGCAGGAAGAGTTAATGTAATTATAACGCAGCTTAATTTTAATTTAATGTAGGTTGTTCACTTGATATTCTTATTTCCTTACTTTGTGTGTTAGGTAAGAGCAGTAAATTATCCTCCGGACCTATTTGTTGGCAGGTCCCTTCTCGGCTGTGCCCGTGCTTTATGCACACTGTGGGCATAGTCATAGTGTTCTCTCTGTGGAGCATGTAACAGTATTAAAAGGAGCAAACAGTATTCCAGGTGGTGTTTTGCAATGATTAGCTGGTAACAGTGAGGCAGGGGTGGTTGTTTTTAAAGGGTATGCATGATATTTGTTAGCAAAGCAGTGCGTCTGGCCTCAGCAGAGTGCCTGGGATGGATGGAGATGTGATGCTGCTCACCTATAGCTGACCTGCTGCCCAGGCACACTAGAGCATCCTCGGAGCAGCTGTGGGGTGGGCTGGGATGCGGGGGTTGCTGTTGTGATGTGCTGCAGAGATGGTTCATCCCAGGGAAGCACGTGTGTCCAGGAGCGTGGGATTTAACAGGCAGTTGGAGAAACCACGGCAAGTTCATGGAACGGGGGAAAAGGAGAAGAGTGTGTGAAAGAGAAGAATGAATGGAGAAGAAATTGAGAATATGGATAGAAGGGAAGAAACGTGAATAGAACAGGAGAAGGGGGGAGGAAAACTGTTTCTGATGGCTATTCCTAAAAGAGTGAGAAGTATAAGAGTATGAAAACCATTTCACATGTCCTATATATATATAAGTATGTGCATATGTGTATGTATCTGTGTAATATTTGAATCTGGGTGTAGCCCTGATACTGTCTCTGGGTTTTTAAGCAGCTTTGGGCAGCTTTTCAGTGCTGCCTTAGGAGAACAGAGTTTAAAATCGTGGTCACCTTGGCCCACAGTGGCATTAGCTCTCCTGTTCGTAGTTGCTGAAGTTGCTGGTGAAGAGCATGGTATTTCGTAGACTGGTTGGGGTGGAAGGGACCTTAAAAATCATCCAGTTGGCTTCCTGGGCTGCAAGTGCACGCTGCTGGCTCATTTTGAGCTTCTCATCACCCAACACCCCCAAGTCCTTCTCCTCAGAGCTGCTCTCTATCCATTCTCCACCCAGCCTGTATTTGTGCTTGGGATTGCCCTGACCCACGTGCAGCACCTTGCCCTTGGTCTTCTTGAATTTCACGAGGTTTGCACGGGACCACCTCTCAAACCCATCCAGGTCCCCTCAGCATGGCATCTCTTCCCTCCCTGATACTGTTTTGCATCCAGATGGTGCAGATTCTGGCCAAGAATTTTCTAAAGCAAGCACCCTTTATTTCAGCCTCAGCGACAGCCGGCGATACTGCGAGCAGCACAATAAAATGCTTCAGCGCTGCTCCCTTCCCTCTCCACCCAGCTCACTCCTTCCCTCAGAAACCGATTAGTCCTTCAGGGCTGTCAGTGTTGCACTCCACAGGTTCCTTTCAACTGGACTGGTTTCACAGTTAAGAACATACATTCCTCTCTCTTTTTCTCCAAGCTGCTTCATTATTTTAATCAACCCCAATTCTAAGTCCTTTTTAAAAGGTTATACCAAAGTTGTGGCTTTTTTTGCACCCTTTTTTTATACTGTAGCTCTCCAAAGAAAAGTTGGAGAGTATTGTACATTTGCACTAGGTGGAAGGCAGGTGACAACCACGACGTGCTCTGTGACATACCCACGGGCAGGGACCCACTTCCATCCCCTTGCTCCTCGCAGCCAGCTGTGCCAACTGAGGCTGCAGGAGTGGAAAATCTTCAAAATGCTGAATTCAGTGAGTTCCTAAATGTGGCAAGCAATTAATACGTGCAAAAGTAGAAATATAACCTAAACTCTTGCCTCTTCCCCTCCCCTTTGCTTCCTAATGCTGTTTTTGAGATCTTTGCTGGACGTGTCCTCTGCTCCTGATGCTGTTCTTCAGCTCGTTTTAAATTCCCGGTGAAAGGAACCCTTTCTCCTACACGAGCTTCACGCTCCGAGTCTGTGCGGTACCTTTTTCTGACTTGATGTTCATATGTGATTACTTCTGGATCAAAAGAGATGACAGCTAGCATTATCCATGAAACGTTCATTCCAAAAATGCAGATGACTGGTGGGTACTTCTGAATCAGCCTGACTTGAATCATTTCTTGTGGAGGTTCTAATTTAAAGAAAAAAAAAAAAAAAAAACAAACCCAAAAAACCCCCAAAAAAACCCCAAACCCCATAACAAAACAAAAAAAAAAAAAACAACCTATGAAAAGTTGCTTTTTTTTAAGTACAGGGGGAAAATTGGACTAACGGTGAGTTTTAGCCAACTAAAGGGTCTGCAGAAACAGAAGTACTGCGGTAAAACTGCCACAAAGCCTCAAGAATAATTCATTACTGTCAGTGTATCATCTTTCGGTAAGCTCACAGATGTGTCCTTTATGTTGGCAAGTTGACGCATGAAAAACCCTTTTTAATTTCAGGGGGTTTTTTCTCCATTAAAAGATTTTTGAATTTCAGTCATAAAAAGATAATACTGTGAGAGCAGCAGGTATGGCGAGAAGCTAAGCATCTTTTGGAATTCAAATGCCAATGTACTGGAGAATATGCCTGCTTATTGTCACATGGTTTTATTGTAGACAAAATAACATATTGGGATTCAATTTTTCTCTGCACCTTTTTTTTTTTTTTCCACATTAAATTAATACTTTGTGTGGCTCTGGAGAACTTTTCAAAGTCTTCTGAACCAGACCTTTGGTTTCCTGGGGCTTCTGCCTTTCAAGTAGCTGTGAACATCTCCTAATTAGATAAATTACTTTGTAGTGGGCAGAGCCACAAAACAGGAGGTGCTGGTTAAATTAAAGGGGAAAAATAGAAAAATCCATTCTCTGAAATGGAATGCCCCACTGCTTTATGACTATTACTGTTGTAAGGTTTTACATTTAAGTACCTGAGGTTTAAAATTAAATGTCTAATATAATTTGGCACTGGTAACATGAAGCTTGTGACTGCCCTCGGAGAAAATCTCAACAGCTTAGTTCAGTGTTTCAAATTGCTGTCTGCTGGATAGTGAGCACCTCGTGCGATTGGCTCACTATTTAGCGAAATACCACCTGCTGTTCCTCATAATTTTGAATGCAGTAACGTATTTGCCTTAAAAACTCAGGAATTTAAAAAGACTCTTCCAGCAGCACATGAAAAATTAATTCTTCTTACATTTTTTTCTTCTTCTTGTAAGTACTTGACAGAAGTAATTTTAGCAGCAAGAGAGAATAAAAACTGGGGGCAGTAAATCCCTGTCCGGGAACCTCTTGTGTAGATTCTTTATGGACCCAGAATTGATCTACATGTCACATCCTGATGTAGTTTAAACTGTTTATCACCCTAATGGCGGTAGAGAGACCATGAACATCAACTTGTAATCCTCCATGAAAGAAATTGGTGTTTGCAGTCAATGAAGGAGCAGCTTAGCTTTATTGATAGATTTAGAACAATTACTGCTGCTGCAACTATTGGCCGAGAGGTTTTCCCGCATTGCATTGGAAGCCTGCGATTTTTTTTTTTTCTTTGATAAATCTTTTTATTTGATGGATCATTTTTTTTTTCCACCTGGAATTATCTGTAGTTGCTCGCGGCTGGGGAGTCCGAGGGTTGTCTGGTCTCAGGGGAGCCGTGCGTAACCTGTCCAGGTATCAAAGTTTGGTTCAAGAATGTGCATCTGCACGGTTCCTCCTCTGCAAATTCGGCTCTTATTTTACTCTGTACATTCTTTTTCTTCTGCAAATATTCTTAGCTAGGAAAAGGAGGACTGTGTGGAGGAATCGAGGAAAAGCTGGCCAAGAGTAATGATGTGATGCAGGTTTTTCTGATGGAAAACAGATTCGTGTTAATTAGTGGTGTTGCAACCGTTAGAGGCAATGCTGTCTTTTCTACAGCCTTCACAATCTGTGCATCTTTAAAGAATTTCAGAGACGGATCCTCAAACTTAGCATCAAAACTTTTTTTTTTTTTAATGGAAGAAACCCCAACCAGCTGTATTAACTTGCAAAAATTGGGTTCATGAGACTTAACTCACAGAAAACGGAGGATGTTATTTCCTACCTGGGATGAAGAAGTAGCTTGTTCATTTTCTTTTTAAAGGTTTTATGGTTTGGCTGATAAGACTATGTCCCAAGAATATCAGAGGGAAGAATTTATTCCTTAAAGTTACAACATGAAGCTCTTCTGAAACGGTGCTGCAAACAGTCATTTGCATGGGACAGGGATTTCTTTCCTCTGGACTTGTAAATTGTCATTAGGATTCTAGCATGATATAGAATTCTGCAGTAAATCAGATATCTGTTTAAATATCATCCACTTAGGCTTTATCACTGTACAATTGCTTATACGGGCCATTTGATCTCGGCTGTAATTTATGGAAGTTGTAATATCTGGTGTCTCTTGAGTTTCTAACAGTTTGGCGTTAGGGTTTATCGATGTGAAATTGAGTTCTCACTGTGCCATGGGGTATGAGAGGTCATTGGAGTGTTTCTATTAATGCAGAGCTTACAACCTGCCTTATTTTGCTGATTGTAAGTACTTGGAATGATTAAACGATGGAGTCTTGCACTATGCATTGAAAAAGAAAATGGTTCAGCTTTCTTCTGACGGTCATAATGCTTCTGTGTCAAAAGGGAACCAGAAAACGTCGTTTAGAGTTGTTCAAATTCAACAGGCAAGTTCTTGACTATGATAAATTATATTATTTCAAATAGATTTACAGAACTTCAGAGTTCTTGGTGTTAAATGTATATAGATGGTTTCAGTTGGAAGAGCTTTTTCCTCCTTTTTA